TGTCGTGAATACTCAAAAAGTTACGGTGATTTAGGGATTTTGTTCTGTTAATTTTCAAGCCAAACTGTTAATTCTATGAAAGGAACCTGTTAATTCGAAAAGTTTCGTAGTTTATTATGACAACTACGCTCTAAGTGAAAACGTCTGTTTATCTGAGAGTATTCTGTATTTGTTATTAACAACCATTGAGAAAACCATTTGACGCGCAAAATTGATTAACCCAAAGGTTCATTTTGAACGGTTCCGTGATTTTGAGTTTGATTTAAAACTTAACTTTCAAACTTTTATCAAAGAAGCGTCCAACTAGATCAGGTTTTGACTAAAACTCCTGTAATTTTTATCCAGCAAAATATTTTTCATATTTTTGATGAGGATTATAAATAAGAGTTAAAAAGTTCACCTTGCCAACCACAATTGTTTGCAAAAACGGTTGATTTTAAAATTAGATAATTTAATAGCTGCGATTGTAAGCTTGGTTAAGCAGAATCTATGAAAAGCTATCTAGAAAAGGCATAAGGCGTTTTTATTCTTCACCCACAGTCCAGACTAAAATGTTTTGTTGAGAAAAATTTTTGTTTTGGGACTGGAAGTTTAACATGGCATCGCTAAATCAGAGGAAATTGATGCGGCAGGCCTGAAGCTAGAGTTAGCTTGTCTTCACGCTCTATCATTGCCATGGCAGGAAGGTAAAATACATGATCTGAACATTCAAAGTGAACGCCGTATCACCATAAACTTAAGCTGCATGCGTAGTAGTTTACATTTCATGCTTTTGCCATTTTATGGTTTGCAAGAGGGAATTCCGGCAATGTAGGTCAAAGAATGAGGACAAAGACGCTATTTTGTTGTGAAAGTGCACAAACATCAGACAAGACTGATCGTATCAAGGCGAAGCCTTGAATGCTCCGACTGTATTTTAAGGTCTATGGAGCAGTAATAACATTTAAAAAAATTACAAAAAGAAAAAATAAAAAGGATTTTTTTTTTAAATTTCAGTTTTTTTTTTAAATCATCCCCCACATGCCATATAAAGTACAAAGTGGAATACTTCGCTTCTAGTAGCAAATAAATTATGGCAAATAAGCTTCTCTTAACCAATTTGGAACAATTTCTAAGACGGATTAAGTCTCCGCTTACGCGTTAATAGCGCGAAATATATCGCGCGTTAATTGTCCCAAGTTGGCCAAAATGGCAATCTTTAAACCCCCATAACTTCACGAAGAATAGTCACAGGTGAAATATCTTTTCAAATTTGAGCTCAGGATAATAATACCTTTCCAATGTTAAAAAAATGTCTAGTTAAAAATTCGACATTTCTCTGAAGAAAAAACCCCACTCGAGCACATATATTCCGTACTTTCGTCACGAAAGTAAGAACAATAAAAGTGTCGGAAATGTTTCAATGACTATACTTTGGTATCATTTGGTATCATTTTATGGCATCTATTTAAAGCCGACCAAACCAAAAGTTTTCAAAAAGATGCCTTCGGCGCCAATATACACCAGATTTGAAAGACTGCTTATTGACACCTGTCAACGATAGTGAATGATTCACGCTTTAGCTTGTCACTCTCTCTCTCTCTCTCACTCTATCTAATCTCCGTTGAAAGATTACGGTTGATACTATTGTTTATTTATGTAACCAATTACTGAAATTAATTCGATATCCATATCAAGGAACAATTTACTAATGTCATTGATAGTTTTTAACTGAGTTTTTGTAGCGTTTCTAGGGATATCTCACCGCCCCTGCTTTTTTTGTACGTAAAAACAACTTAAAAAACTTTTTTGTTTTAAAACTTTTTTGCTCGAAAAAAAATACCATAAAATAGTTTGTAAGCCTATTAAAACCTACATCGGGCAAGAGCGTTTTGGATTTTTTTGACCTGCCTATAGTAATAAAACTTATAACTTTAAGTTTTGACATCAGTATGTCTAGCAAACGAAAACGGAAGAAACTAATTTCGAATGATGGTCTGAAAGATATGCCTTTTATTAATTGAGAACAATTTTTTGGAATGCAATTGCATGTCTTGTGGTAACCACTATTACAAATAGAGTGGATTCACACCAGAGGGGAAACTAAAATGGTATATGTCTAATTCAAGTTAAGTAATTTGAGTTAATTTCGTTTTCCTTCTAATAAATTATTTAATTGCATTACTTTTTTTCCAGCGTGTATATTAGTTTTGAGGGCGAGCGTTTTGAGGGTTCGAAAATGCGTTGAAATTTCGATTGCGTAGTAGATAATTTTTTTTGCATGCCACTAGTGTTTTGAAAGTTCTCGGCTTGAAAAATCAATTTGGTCGATGTACAAAAAGTCTACTAAATTTTTGAAAGATCTCCCAGCCCTCGAGAAAATCTTAGATCTCGCAAAAGTCCTCCTGATGAAAAATTTTGACCAACCGAAGAAAACATATATCTATAGTTATGATTCTACCGAGAAAATTAAAGAAAAAACTACTTACCCAAGTGCTGTTTGCAGAATTTCGCAGTAAAATAAAAATTTCAAAAGCAGTAAACAAAAACTTTTCGTCATTTTTACAGCCATCCTACCGTACTCTATTTTTTATCTGTTACTATTTGGTATTCTTCACGCATCTGAAAAAGAAGGCGAACGAAGTTTATCATCAAATATGAAGCAAGCAAACAAAATAAAGTCAACGCAATTAGATATCCGTCTGGTTAAGCAACAGAAATACCGGATTAACGTAGCAGGATTGGGATATTCCCATCCACCGATGAGAATCGACGTTGAATAGCATGAAAATCAATGAAATTTTAAGTTCTACCAAGTTTATGAAAACTCTAAATTGATCGACCAAGTTTATGAAAACGCCAATTGTAAGCAATTTTTTTTCAATAACTTGGTTAAATTTTTAATTTATAAATTGATCGACCGTTTTATCAAATTTTGGACTGTGAAATGTCAATAGTGGGAACTATAGTCTGGTACCGTAGGTGGTGTTTGGCAAAATATGATAAATGTTGGTATCAAGGCCTAGGAAAAGGGAGTAATTTTATCAAGAAATCAACCAATGGAAATGAAGGAATAGTAGTGGTCAAGGAAATCTAAGAACCCAGAAAAATTATGTAAAGTGTGACTTTGAAGTCAATCATGCAGTCATTAGTTTCCTCGTTTGCTCAAAATTAGTTGAGTTTAAAATCGGTCAAATTTTTCAAACTGGCAAAAAATCGTTTCATCTCTAGACAAAGAATAACAATATTACTTTAAAGAAACCAACTTCCCATCCACCATCGAAAAAATGAAATTTAACATTTTTGCAGACAAAAATTTCCTTGTTGCATTTAAAACTTAACACTTCAAAAGTTAACGCATAGTTAATCTTATTAATTCTTAATCACTTTTTCTCTGAAGATAATTGATGCCTTCAGGGGGTATGGACTCAATTACTTCTGGGTACCTTTCAGAACTCAAAAAAGTTTCCGACAAATTAGTGAAATACAGTAAAAGGCAACGGAAACTGAACAGGGGGATATGCTAGTCACGAGAGGGTGTATTACAGGATTAAGAGGGGTTTCCTTTCAAAGAGATGCATTTGATAGTTCCTTTCAAAGGGATGAAACATCTGAAGGTACTATAACTTATAAGTTAATTAGAAATAGGACGAGTCTCGCATTCTATCTGGGCAGATTTGATGAAATTCAATTAAAATGGTAAGCGAAACGTGGACGCTAACTATGCTTGCCAAATTTTTCCAAAGGATCATCTTTTGCTAATACTTTATGACTATCATCTTTGAAATTGGGTGCCAAAATCAATGGGCCAATGATGGCCTGTTTTTTGTTCGTCAAAAGTTTAAATAAGCTGAAAAATTTCTGACTAAGTAGGGCCGGCTTTAGAAGCATTTGAAGTAGTTCAGAAAATTAATTTGATCGGCTTAAGAAAAATCGACAAATTTTGCAAAAGCTGTGGAAGTTAGCGAACAGTTAAAACTTTGTTGAAACTAGGTTATTATAAAAAAAAGCAATTCAATAAATTTTTGTTCAACTTTGAAGAAACAAATGGAATATAAAGCTATATGAAGAAGATTTTTTTGCAAACTAATTTTTACGAGTTTGAAAGATGAAATTCGAACCAATCGCTTTCGAGGATTGGTTAATACTCACTAAAGAATCAGTCAGCATCACGAATTGCGCTTGAAAACAAAATTATGTGGATACTTTCGTTGTGATACGAGTACAATGCTCTGACCGTGCTGCTGAACTACGCGGCACTAAAAATGATGAACTTTGACTTGCTATGACGTCTGAATTCTACGTTTCGTTTTAAGGCTACGATGCATTAACATCCTCCGCCGTGGAGGAGCGAGATCCGAATTGAGGTGGATAAGCTGTTGGTCCAGTTAGCGCAAACTGTAGTTACCGTAGTTAATTCACGCTACGCGTGCTAGTAGATTTTAGCCACAATTACTAATTGTTTTCACTGATCACACTAATCATTTTTATAAGGTGATCCATTTTCTAGGAGGTTCGCGCCATTTGTTTCGCTTATTTAGCGTTGATCGTACGCATGCCATCATCGCTGCTAAATAGAGTTTAAGTAAACCTAAGTATTTTTCATAGCGATTCGACTTTAAAAAATTTTCATTCCATGCTAACGACGGAAAATAATGAGAATACTCCGCGTTATCAGCAAGCGCAGAATGGCATTAATAAAATTTCATTTAAGCACATAGTATCTTAAAAACAAAAACGGCCAAATTTCTCGCCCTTTGACTTGCATGAAAGATGGGCTTAAAACTTGGAACGATTTCTTTCCATGCTTCACACTGATGACGGGCAATTACATAACTGTATATTTCCTAAGTATCTCTACACACCAAAGACGAGAGATTTTCTGAATTTCCACTGAGATGAAAAAACTCTGCTTTTAAGCTCCTAAAAAATTTTACCTCAAATGTCGCACAAACTACCGAGATCAACATTTTTCCAGTAACAGATTTCTGGATATCCATCGCACACGAACCTGTGCCCAAAGATTTAACAAACTGCAATGGTCATCTCGCTGGTTCCGCTACGTTTCCCGAATACTGCTTCCTCAACGTTTCTCAACAGGAATCCCCAACGTTTCCTGAATGATTGACAAATCAAGATATAGAACTGACCAATGGAGTCAACTCCGCAGATCGGCAACACCGGTTGACGTTAACGTACGCTGTTTACTGGAAGATTAGATGTTTTTGGCTGGATTGTTTTGCCCTTTCGCTTCCTGTAAGATATGCATTCTGTCCGATGAGCATTCCTTGCAGATCTCAACCTTAGTACAGCAAAATACTGATGAATACCATGCCAAAGGTTATGGAAGCAGAGAAACAAGCGTATCAGTTGGCGACAGTTACTATGAAATTTGCGTATAAGCTTGAAAAAAGCTTCTTGACCTTTCACCATGTTTGCCTGCAGCTAGCAGTTTCATTTTAGGCTGTAAGTGGCTCCTGCTGTGGAAGTTGCGAAAGTTTTTTTAGCTCTAAGTTTTGCGGAATACACTATAACGTTTTCTGATGTTCTGAACTGTTTATTTTTGTGCAAAATTCCGAAAATAATAGCGACTATGCTCCTCGACTTAGAGAACAAGCTACACTCCTCTTAAATGAAAGCAAAAATAGTCGAAGCTACAGTGCACGGAAAATGTGAAGACCTCCAGACTCTCATTCGAATCGAAGATTGGACCATGTAAGAGCATAGGAGCCGGCGCTAATACCACGTGTCCCAGAGCGATCCGCATGGCAACAAAAAGAGTTCAACCACTGTATGACCCTAATTCAGTCCACGTAAACCCGTCAACTGAATCTTCTTTTAAGTTTTTTTATGGAAGATCATAACAGTTTTTAACATAACTTCAGATTTGTATACTGTTTTCAGGGGCCGATCATGGATTTTCTCGAGGGCGGGGGGGATTTCCAAAAAATTTTCGAAAATTTTGCTCTCCTAAAGCATTATAAAGACGGTTTTTTAGTTAAATTTTCAGCGCAGCGGGCAAATTTTTGAAAAAAACATGTCTAAAAGCCGTTTTTGGGCATTTTTTGGAAAGTTTTGACGGTAAATCACAACTTTCTGGCGCGCGCTCCTCCACAAAGTTTTTGTTGTTGTTGTTGCCTAGGTGCCCGTAGTTTGGCCCTCATTTTGTCCGTCGTTTGTGGCTTCTTCCATCTCGAGTTGTAAGAAAGCGGCTGCCTCGATTGAGTTTTCCAAGAGTGCGTGGGGGGTGAGTGTGGTCGGGTTTGCGCTGCACCTGAATAGGTGACCCATTGTGTGATTTCTGAGTTGCACTCTGGGCATGCTTCTGAGGTTGTTTCGTCTAATTTCCTGCAGATAAGTTTGCAGGAATGGGGAGAAACCGCTTCGCAACTGGGCAAAGGTCCGTCTGGTATTTCTCGGTAGTCGTAATTCGTCCTTGCTTAGTTTAGGGGCTGGTTCATCGAGCACTTTGTTTTTGTCCCGGTTGTCTAGGACATCTTTGACCTCGTTTGTATGCATTTTTTTGAGGAGCCCTCTGTAGCCCTCTTCGGTTATGTGTGTTGATGGCCCTATGTCATTGTCGTCTTCTTCTTCTTCTTCTTCTTCTTCTTCTTCTGAATCAGATGTTTCTAGGAGAGAAGTGACGTACCTCTCGTACCTACTGAAGAGCGTTTCCTTTATGTTTCTGGGCTGTTCCGGTTGGTCTAGCAGCCTGTTGCCAGGGTGTCCTTCAAGATGATGGACCAACTGGTGCTGGACTGCTTTCAGACGGATGTGCCGCCTGATGGGTAGGAATTTCGTCTCGTCGTGTAGGTGCTGGATGGCGGTCATCGTGGTGCATCCTGTGGCCACTCCATGGGCTGTGTTTTGGACTTCCTGCAGCGTTTCTACGTGGGTGTGTGCAGCGATAGGAGTCCAAACTGGTACTCTAAGACGGGCTTGATGAGGGCTTGGTAGGGTTTCTTTGCTCTGTCCCCATGTGGTTACTGCGAGAGCTTTCAAGATATTCACTCTGCTCCTTCCTGTAGCTACGGCTAGTCTGCAGTGTGGGCCGAATATCAGGGATGTGTCAAAAGTAACGCATGTATTTTTTGTTGTTTTCGCCAGAATGAAGGCTTTTTCGTTTATCTTCATGTCTGGTGTGATTTTGTGCTCTTTGGTGCTTGGCGTGAAGAGCGGAACGGAACATTTCGTTGTTGATACTTCCAAATCTCGAGAATCTAGAAAATTGCAGAGCGTCGTCAGGTAGCTGTTGATGTCTTTGCTTAGTCTCTATGTCGGTCCCAAAGGCGAAAACTGTGAAGTCGTCGGCGTAGGATACTAAGACAGTTGTCGGTGGGGGCGATGGAGCATCCGCCACGTAGAAATTGAACAGCGTAGGAGCCACAACCGATGCTTGTGGAATTCCAAATCTGACCATACGGCTGCTTGACAACGTGTCCCCGAATAGTGTGCGGGCCTGTCTACCGTGCAGGTACGAGGCTAACCAGCGTGCAAGTACTCCTGGAAGCGTGGACTCGTTAATCAGCTTCAGGAGGGTAGCGTTGCACACAGTATCGAAACAGGTTCCAGTCAAGGCCGCATTTCCGTGGTGGCACCAACACCAGCTGTCAGTTGGTGCAAATGGCCGTTCAGCGGACTTCAAAATCCGCCGGACAAAAATCCTCCCACGTGCTCCTCAAAATTAGTATATTCTGTCGTCGAAGGCGCCTTTAGAAAAACTTTAGGGTAGGTTGGCCATAAATGGATTTCGTAAAACGTACCAAAGTGGGCCCTTTGGGTCGGCAAGGGGTCGAATCCCTGAGAAGGGAGGAAAGCGTCCGCCCCTCCCCTAAATCCGCGCCTGCTGTTTTTTGTTACGGCTTACAACTTCAACTTGAAACATCAAAAAACTAAAAACAAATTTGTCCTAATTCCCGCACCACTAGCTGCTTTTTTGATTAAAATTTGAGTATGTTACTTTAGGCCCAATTTGAAGAAGAAACTTCACCATTATTTAATGATATGTATGTCT